CATATTTCCATTTTTGGAGGAGTTAAAGGATTTGCAAGACTAATAAAAGTTGTAGGGACTAGGTGTCCTGCACTATATAAGACATAAGGAATGATTCAATAGAGAGCTTTTTTAAATTTTATTAAAATGAAAAGAGTTAAAGTTTGTCATTTTTACTATTAAAAAAAAAATTTCACCACTGATCATTACTCTATTTAAAGAATGTTTTCACGATATAAAGAAGTGTCATGTGATACCTGTGACTCGTGAAATTCCACTAAAATAGATTCAGGAACTCTCTATAAGAGTGATACTTTTTAACTGCAAAAATAACCTATAACATCTTCTTGAAAATTTACGAATTTTACAGAGAGAGATAGAATTAAAGCCAATGACCCAAGATTCTAATTCTGTAGTCAAAGATAAATCTCTCAAGTCATCATCAGATTCAATGTATTCATAGATTGACTCTTCGATTTCTAATCCAGGTTCATTTACATTTAATTCATTCAAAGTGTTTGTGTCAATCTGAGATTCATTTTCAAACATCTCCTTATCAATATATTCATCTGTAATTGGTTTAATAGTTTCTTCGTTTTTTAGTTTCACAAAGCTTTTTGTAAATGCTGATTTCTTTTATTCTGTTTAGGCATTTTAACAAAAAAAAAAGAAGAAATAGATCGAATTAAAAAATCGTTAAAAAATCGTGTTCCATAAAAGGAATGATTTTCATACAAAAATTTCACCAGTTGGCGCAGCATTTGATGTTTAGATGATTGGCATCATATCAATGTCGATAATTCTGCAATTATTATTATTGTTTATTAATCACGTGAAGTAAATTTTTAGTTCCATGACTCTCTGAGACAAGTTGTTTTAATGATCAAATTTCAAAATATACAAGATTCAATTTAATTCTAGAGGGCTTTAAGTTACATAGTCGAAGAAAATAATTTGTGATCAAGATGGAGGATGTCTGTAATCAAAATTATTACTTCAACTATCTGGGGGGGGGGGGGGAAATACACTCGGAAAATGCATCAATGACTTATTTTGAAAATTAAAAAAAAAGAAGTCTTTATTTTGTTTTTTTGAATTTAAGTGATAAGAAATAATGATAAATAGTAACTGTTGAATTATAAGTATAACCCCTCAGGTGTTCCCTCAGATTTACGGTATAAAACCTTTTCTTTTGCCTTCCTTAAATCTTCTGCAACCACTTTCATACGTCGTTCTCGAAGTGCTAATAAGCCTGCTTCAGTACAGATAGCCTGAAAACAAATTGACAATTATAATGAATTATTAAACAACAAAAACAACAACAAGAATAGGTTTTAATTTAACTAATTGATTACCTTAATATCTGCACCGCTTAAATCATCCTTAGACATGACAAATTCTTCAAGGTCTACATCATCTGATAAAGTCATCCTACCAGTATGTATATTAAAAATCCTTCTTTTAGTTTTTACATCTGGTAATGGAAATTCTATTTTACGATCAATACGTCCTGGACGAATCAAAGCAGGATCAAGTGATTCTATACGATTTGTCGCCATGACGACCTTTACACATTAATAAATATATGCACGTATATTAATAAAAATATAATAATAATAATAATTATTATTATTATTATAATTAAAATATAATAAACCTTAACATCTCCTCTAGAATCAAAACCATCTAATTGATTTAATAATTCCAACATAGTTCTTTGAATTTCTCTCTCGCCCCCAGAATTTGATTCATAACTAAACACAATATGCAAATTTATAATTATTATATTTGATGTTTGTAAAAAATTATCAATTAGTAAGTAAATGATTATTAAATACCGTTTCGTTCCAATAGCGTCTATTTCGTCAATAAATACTATTGATGGTGCATGTTCTTCTGCAACACGAAACAATTCACGTACAAGTTTTGGACCATCTCCAAGATATTTTTGAATCAGCTCAGACCCAACAACACGTAAAAATGTAGCTGATGTTTGATTGGCTACGGCTTTTGCTAAAAGTGTTTTACCTTTTTTCCAAAAAAAAAAAAATAGCAAATATAATATGTATATATATATTCATTTATTATAAAATCCATTAATGTTGCTCCCTATTATTATATTATTGTCATTATCAGCACCTGTTCCCGGAACCCCATATAAAATAACCCCTTTTGGAGGTTTTATTCCCATTTCCTCATATAATTCTGGATGTGTTAATGGTAATTCTACTGACTCTTTAATCTCTTGGATTTGTTGTTCTAATCCACCAATGTCAGCATATGATTCAGTGGGCGCTTTCTCAAGTTTCATAACACTGACCATTGGATCCGTATCATCCTGGAGTACTCCAACAACAGACATGGCCTACAAAAAAACCCCCCAATCACGCATATTTATGAATATGTGCATGCATACGTACATGCGCTAATAAATTAATACAAAAATTTTATTTCATACCTTGTGATGCAAAAGAATTGAGCATCCAGGCTCCAATAGATCTTTATCAACAAATGATAAAATGCTAACGTAATATTCTGGACCTGTAGAAGATGAAACAATCGCATGGTCATCATCTATAATTTCTTCCAATGTACCAACTCCCATTGGTGATCCACGCAAATCATCAACTCTTGTTCTTTCCTCCTACATAAATTTTATATCACGCAAGAAATTTTAAAAAAATATAGCGAAAGGGAATGAAATCTGTGATTGGTTTAAAATTTTTAAACAAAAAAAACCCATACTTGTGCTTTTTCTTCTTGTGGTTTTAATCTTTCTTGATTTTGAACAAATTCTTCTTCCATTAATAAATAATCCTTTATACGTTCCATCTTTAACAATTTAAGACGACATCTTGTTGTAGGAAATACTAATTGAGATCAATTTTACAACAAGAATAATTGTTGTTATTATTATTATTATAAAATCTAATTCGAAAGAAAAGCTCCTTGAATGGTCTATTTAAATAAATAAATAAAAATAAATTCAATTAATACCAGCTGGTAATTTAGAAATGGCATCAGGTCCTCTTCTCCTTTTTTTGCCGACACGTGTGGGAAGTGGTGGCTCCCATTTTTTCTTTTTATCTTTATCCTAAAAAAAAATGTTTAAATAATCAAATATAGATCACGAATCTCTGTTAAAAGAAATACTCATTATAGTACTTTATCATCTTTACTCTTATCGTCTTTACCGGATCCTGGTGGTTGAAGATTAAGAGATTGAGAATTACCCTGTATGTATATGTGTATATATAGTCAATACATCCGAATCAATACAAAATTGATTTCATGATCTATTAAAAAGGAATTTTCAATTAAAATTAAATATACCATTGTAAATTTGAGGAAAAATGAAAATTTTGAAAAAAAAAAAAAAATCAATTTATAAAATTTGAATGCGTCATCATAATCTTCAATCATCACGTTTGTCACATTTTGGATGATCAACTGGGTCACAGCATAATGGAAATTTGAAATGTTACACTAATTTTTTATATTGTGCAATGTAGCTTTACAATACACGGCAAACATTCTGGCAATAAAAAGCAAGTGATAAACTGGATTTGAATTGGATCTGAACTTGATCTCCAATTTAGAGAGGTAACAACTATATACTGGCGAAGTTTCAGAAGCAATGAGTTCTGTATAATGTTTCGTGTAACAACAAACTTCCACTATGCTCTGGGTCACTAGAGAACTTTTAAACTATTACTATGTGGGATGGGCTAACCATAAGTAGAGTGACTTTCACAAATACTGAACGCTGATTGGGTAGGATGATTGGGGATTTCATTTGACAGCCATAAGCATGACTGCCAAAAAGATGCAAGCACAAAGTTAGCGAAAAGTTTGCTTTTAGTCATGAACTCATCAAAAAGTTCCTTCGCTTGGATATTAGAGTTCCTAAATTACCTTCAAAAATTAGAAGGGATTCATTCGTTGCTTCAGAATTTAGCAGCACTATTGCAAAGGTGCTGGCTGACACCAATAAATGAATGGAGAATGGAAATACCTCGGCAAGAAATCTTTAATTTCCACTGCCTCCCTCATTCACTTTGTCAAATTTGTCACAAAAAAGAATGATACAATATTCTTTCCAATTCTTCTTATTCAATATATCACAAAAGCCAGCTTGTGTTGTAAATGAGGCTCGACATACTGTCCATTTGGTTTGAATATTTGGTTGATGTCTCGGTGGTAATAATAACGCACAAGCAGGTTTTTGCCTTTGGTTTTTACCCCAAAATTCAGTTTACTAAATTCAAGTTTACTGAAGTCCATGAACAAAATCTTTGCAAAGCAAAAATAAATAAATCGCATTATTATTATTTTATTTTTATAAAACATAAAAAGTTATAATAAAAAAAGGTTTGGCGAAGATATCAAGATTTTCCAATATCTATTCCAAAATTAGAAAAAAAATTTTAGCTGAAAAAAAAATTTATTTTTTTTTTCAAAATGGTAAATACTTTCTATTTTCCATTATATATCAATAAAATTATTCATAGTATTAATTTTCATTCATTGAATATATATTAAGCCAAAAGTAAAGAAAAGTCGACCACAATTACATTATAAAATAAAAAGAAGCTTTGCAGTGCCTGAAAAACATGTAGAAAAGGTTCTTCCCGGATCTGCTTTGCAAGCTGATGAAAACAAGGTAATAAAAAATAAATAACAGTAATAATAATTAGAACTATGAATTATTATTAGAATTCTTATAGTCTTATTTATAATATTGTTTGAAAATAGTCAACTAATAAAGAATCATCATCATCAACATCTACTTCATTGAAATCTTCTGTTTCACAATTAACTTCTACTTCTTTGAAAGATTCAGCGCCACCTGTAGAAACATCAATAAACGATCAACCTCTTACAAAAAAGGAAAAGATTAAACAAAGACATGAGAAATGGAAGAAAAGTAACAATATTTAACTATTTGCTAGTAAATAATATTTAAATTATATTATGATTTATGCATTTTATTTATTATACATTTCAATAGAATTTGAACCATTTTCTACACAACCAAAAAAGAAACCTAAAAAAACAAAGTCTTCAACAAAAGCAACGTCAGAACAAATAGATAATAATCATATGATCATTGATTCAAATATAATAAATAATAAGAAAGCTGACACCAACAAGAAAGGTCAAGATATTACGAGTAATAGTAGTAATATTATTGATAGTAGTAATAATCCATCTAACAGTAATCATAGCAACAATAACAATAATAATGACAACAACAATAATAGCAGTGATAAAGATGATTCAACAGCATCGAATATGAAAATTGCTGGATCTTTAAAGAAAAAGAAAAAGAATAAAAAGTCAAAGAATAAAAATAAAAACAATGATGATGTATTATCAACAACACTGAAAATCAAACCAATAAAATCAATTAAAGCCAGGGAAAAAATAAAGTAATTATTAACTTGTTATTCATTTATATGTTCATAATATTAATAATATTAATTATTAATATCAATATTTTTATAAAAAAAGTAAAGATGAAATCCAAAGATTTAACAAAATCTTACAGCATCCTCAATTCAAAACAAATCCATTATTTGCCATAAAACAACATTTAGAAAATACAATTAATGCTAATGTTGATGTTGGAGTTAATGTAGATGTTGATGCTAAGGTTGATGTTGCAACTGATAATAAGAATAATTCAATGGACATAGAATAGAATAAATAAATAAAAATAATCTTTAAGAAAAATTTTTTTGATGTAATAAATAATTATTCATTATTAATCATCTTCTTTTCAGCAGTTCCTAAAAGATTTCCTATATCTATTGATTATATCAGAATAATTTAATATGATGCAATTAATAATTTTTTTGAGATAACATTAAATTTTTTATTTATATAACTTATTTACAATTATTCAACACCATAAAATGTGCATATAGATTCATTGGAACTTTCTAGGTACAAGAAAGAGACGGTAAGCAAGAACAAAAGTAAATTCGTAACTAATTAATTGACAAGCATTGAATTATTGCGAGTTTCTTGCAATTAACTGACAAGAATAGCCCAAAAGTTAAATTGTAATCAAAAGGCTACATTGCAATATTTAACAAGAGCTAGAAAACTGTAAAAAGTTTATTACTTCAAAATATTATTATAGTTTAGAAATGAAATAAAAATAAAATAAAAAGATGAATAATTATAATGAATAAGTTTATAGTGAAGATTAAATTAGTCACTCATTGATTCTTTCTTTTAATTACTAGAATCTAATGTAAGTAAAAAATATTGTTATTAATGATTAATAGATAGTAATTTCCCAATCAATTAATTAACAATGAAATTTTCATTCATCTTTGACATTTAAGTAAAATCAAGATAATTTAATGAATTATCATTACTTGTATAACTTTTAAGCTTTTTGATCTAGCAATCTCTTCATTTAATATTCTACTTGTATGGTATGCACCTGGGTGTGATTTATGTACTTGTTGCAAAACACTGCTACCACCATCACTGCTGCTGCCACCATCATTATTAAAATCAATTTCCTTGTGTTTATTTATAGCAAATTTGAAAAGCTCACTAATAGTTGGTCTTTTTGATGGATCCACATCCCAACACCTCTGCATCATTTCTGCATAATCATCAGGCATGCCAGGTAATATTGGTGGTCGTAAACCTTCTTCACATATGTCAAAAATTAAATGATGGTCATGAGCTCTATCATCAAATGGCAGATAACCTGCAAATATTTCCCACATTAACATCCCAACACTATAAATATCAGATTCCTTTGTGTTCTTTTCACCTCTAAGTAGCTCAGGTGCAACATATGATACAATTCCATAAACTTTATCTGATGATTTTTCATCAACTGGTCCACATAATCCCAAATCTGTAATAAAACAAGCACCTCCTTGCAATAATATATTACCACTATGTAAATCACAATGGATTAAATCTTTTTCATGTATCTCATTTAATGCATAACATAAATAATAAAATATTGTAATTCTGTCTTTTAATGTTAAATTTAAATGATTTTTTTGTAAATAATCCCTTAAATTTCCATCTAGAACATAAGGTAAAACAATTGCATAATTTCCATTATCTGGGAATTTTGTTATACCATAGCAAGAAACAATAAGTGTTGCTTTAAGTTTACAATAATTCATTGCCTGTAATTAAATATAAGAACCCATTAGTATTTTATTATATAATACAGTATTGTCTATTTTGTTTTAAATGAAAACTACCAACCTCATCAAAAAATGATTTTCCTGGATTACTTGAATCATTTAAACTTTTTAATACTACTACATACCCTTCTCCTAAATAACTGAATTCTTTTTTATTTTCGTCATAATCATCTATATATCCTCTTGTCCATGTAGCAGTAAAAATCGAACTAAATCCACCTTCTGTCAACTTCGTTACATCATCAAATTGCTCAAAAGGTATCCATTCTAAAATATAGCCTGGTAGAGAAGACTTCATTTGACATTGTTGAATAAAGTTATCAACTATGTTATTTCCTGATGTCCAAGTGGTGAAAAGACTCTGTAATTGTAAACTAATACAACCTTCACAGAACCTATCAGAATATCTTGTCAATTTACACTTGTTACATTCTTTTGGTTTTCCTTCTTTATTTGTTGCATTCTGTAATTCATCCTCATAAATAAACTTTTCTCTGCAAAATTCTTTTTCATTTTCAGAAAGCACCTTGTTTTTCTTGACTAATGAAAAAAAATAGTCTTTTCTACTTTTTTCATCAGAACTATTAACATTAGCATTATTGTTCATTTCATTAACAATTTTAAATACAAGTTCCTTTCTTTCTGTTGATAACGATGATAACAATTTATTATATGACATTATATAAAAATATAAACCTTGACTTATCGTTTTAATGAATAGAATTGAATATCGTGTAACAAATAAATTTTTCGTGCAACATTTTTTATGGTTTTTCTCTAACATAAATTGAAAAGTGAAAATTGCATTATTTAAAGAACAACTTCATCATCACCAAATTCTAGTGATCGATTATTGTGATTCAACAATAAAAGAAATTCTTTAAAGATTTAAAAGTGACAAAAATAGAAAACCTTTCTTATGTGCTGCCAATATTGATCAACCTATGTTGTTTCAAACTCAGATACTCAAGCACATTATTAATATTATTGCGTATTACTATTACACGTAGTCCTGTAGTTAACTTCAAAGTCAAAAATTCGAAAAAACATCAATTTAACACAACTCATATGTATGTAAAGATAATTTGATTTTTTACATTTTATGAAGTGTAATTTTGAAAGAAAAATATACGGAAAAAATTAAATAAAATTTCTAACTCAAATTATAACATTTGTAAACTTCTCATGATAATCATTCTTGCATCATTGCACAATGAATGATACAATGATTCTTTATATACTCCGGGACACACAATTTTACATAATTTGGAACTTTTGATAATCCTATTTTATCATTATTGTTATTGCTGCTTGTATCAAGTGTTTTTAATTGTATCAAGCGTTTTTAATTACGTCACGTGGTTTTAATTACGTCAAGGGCTTTTACTTTACTCAAATAGTCAAAATGACCCTGGTGAGAAACTACCTTTAGTCAATACTTTGGTTACGTCAATGACTAAAGTCAAAAGTTTCGTCATACATCATTAATTTTTATGAACCCAAGTATATTGAATGAAGACAGTAATGGTAATATGTTTTTTTCAATATTTATTTTTGTATCTATTTTTATATTATTATTATTAAACGAGATCAGAAAGAATTGTTACGCGACAATAAAATTAGCTATTATTATTATATTATTTATATTTTTATATGTGACTACTATTGTTCTTTTCATTGTTTAAATCATTAATTTAATTTTTTTTATATATTTTAGAAAGGGAACATGTAAACCAACCAGCTTGCAGTAAGATTTCTATTTATTTATGCTTTCAAATTTAAAAAAATTCTAGTCTAGTCTTAATCTGTACATTACTTTCCCGATTCAATTACAAATTCTATTCAGAAATATGGAAAACTTCAAGCAGAACATGGACTGGTGATTAACTCAAAGCTGTCAAATCACAATTACTAATCCATAATCTTTCAAAACTTTGCCATTTTATCATGTTAGTAACATTAGTTTTCTTTAGGTAGGCTCTTGGTAGATCGAAGTGCTTATAATCAAAAGGCGCCAATCATTCTGGAAGAGCGAGAATTCTTTGGAGAGGTGCAATACTTTTTTCACATCAATATAATGACCACTGGTCTATGTTAGCATATGTGAAGTGGGCTCTAAACCCCCAGCCTTCTGGGTATGGGGTCCATTAAAATTTAGGGATCTTGGTGCATTTGAAGTAATTAATGCTAGCACAATTTGTAGAAGTTTAAATTTCTCAGCATGCTAAACAAATGAAATTTATATCATTGATTGAAAGAACCGGATTAAATCCCGATAGTTTTCTTACATAGTTGGAATATCTAAAATTGTAATTATTTATTGCTTATCACTTATTAATTTGCATTTCACAGTCAAATATTAACAATGTCGCTAAACTTGTAATCATTTAGAAAGTACTCACCATGTTCAAGAACTGCAAACATTTAATACTAATGAATGCATTTCACCAATTAAAAATCATACGAAACATTAAAATACAATCCTTATTATCAACCTTTTAATAATAAAAGGAGATGTAGATCAAAACTAGTTCAATAATAATAATAACAACAATTGCTATATTCCCACGAGAATCTGCTTGCTTGCTTCTGCCATTAAAATCATTAAAAATTAATTGAAATTATAATACATTGTATTTAAATTTTTTGGACTTTCTAACATGATACAGTAAGGCCGTTCAAAATTTGATTATTTGTTTAACATTTTCCTCTCCTAGATTTTAAAATTTCAATAAACAAACAATTATCTCTGCTGATCATTTAGGCTTTTCATTGGTTTATTTATTTATTTTGTTTGTTTAAATTACCTCCTTCCTCCCCCTCTAATTTTCAAAAAAAAAAAGGAACGGCTATCAAGTGACCAGGGTGTCAACTTCTTCCAACAAAAATCGTAAGATATTTAGCACTTAACCAATTTTAGATATAATTCTACGATTTCTGCAGCTTCTTGTCCCTGACCACATGATAATGAATCAATTAAAAAATTAGCAATGCCACAAAATTAACAAATAAGCAAAGCAATGAATTGGCAAAAATCGCTCAAAAACAAACAAAAAAGTCGAATGATTAATAAAATGGTAAAAATAGTAATTGAGCGATTTTTGCCATTAATAAGGAGTTCTTTATATTATTATTTTTGTATAAATACGTTCACTTTATTCCATTCTCCAAAATCAAAAACTTTTCTCAAGAAATAAAATAAATAAAATTTAACGATTAAAAAACTTTTTCTAACAAACAATAAAATTCAAAATGACTAAAACTTGTGATGGATGTGCTTGCGGAGCTAGTTGTAAATGTGGAACTGATTGTAAATGCGAAAAAACCTCCACCGCAAAAGTTAATTGTGGTGCAAGGTAAATAAAAATAATAATTAATAAAATATTTTTCAGATTTATTTTTTCCAACATTTTAATCTTGACCTTTAATTTTTTTGATTTTTATTATTATTAGTGGCTGTACATGCGGTGAGAAATGTTCTTGCAGTCCTGGATCTTGTACATGTGCTAGCAATACTTGCAACTGCACTAAATAAATAAATAAATAATTCAATATTTCTTTTCACAGTATATAATTAATAAATTTGTTTTTGTAATTTTTGTTTTAAAATAATAACAAATAAATAAATAAATCTTTAAATTTTTGTATTTTGGCAATCTTTTTTTTTTGAAATGCATTTAATTCATAATATGTAAGCTACGTCGTTAAACCTAAAAAAATTCAATTTAAATACTAATAAATCTGATCTTGAGCGTCTTTTTATAATCGACGACGATTAGACTAGTATAAATCACGCAAAATTATCAGAAAAATTTTGGTATTTCTTGATTATGTAAATATTAATCAATTATATACTTGTACTTATCATTATCAATCCCTACCCAACTACTTATCTATTTAAACTTGTAAATAGAGTTGATAATGGATGGATTAGTTTTATTGAACTGGGATCCGGACGTGGACTTGTTGGCCTGTCTGCCTAAAATGCCGAATATGAATGAATATGTAGTTACAACTAATTTACAACTACAGTCAACCCCCTCTAAGTGCACCATTGGGAACATATCACTATCACTTATGAGCGTGCATTTAAAGGGGAAGATTTATAAGCTCACTATAAGCTTGGGAATGAGAAGGGCGTGCATTTAGATAGGGTGCACTTAGAGGGGTTTGGCCTTAATTAATTTATCTCTGATTGGATGAATGGATAAATTAAGTGATAAAAGTGATTTGTACAGATTTACCAAGCGAAATATTCAGATGAACAAGAAATTAAATAATATTGTTAGTAAAAATAATTAAAAGATGGTATTATTGACAAACCTTCAATAATTATAATAATAAATTAAACTGATATTGTTCTGGTATCAGGAATATTTTACCTGCCGGAATCACACGATTCTTTAATTAACACTATAGGATATTTTAGTCATAAATATGACGATGACAATAAAAATATGAATAATCAAAATACACAACTTCTAGTAATCTATAAAGAATGTGGATTAGGCGAGGAATTATTTTTTGATAATATTAAATCACTGGATAAACTCAAGATTGAATGAGCATTTAATATTGCTACAATGTAATATGGTTACTATAATTTATGATGATTTATTGATTGTTTTAATATTTTTCCAAGTTGGTTACCAAGTCAGTAAGTTGTGAGAAATTATTAAGAGAGATTGGTTTAAATTCTTCCTTGACTATTGTTGTTAATTATTAATTATTAATAAATTTGGTTTATAATTAATAAACAAATAAACAAACAAATAAACGAATTAATAAAAATAAAATTACCAATTTTGTTTGGATATAACATATTTTTTGAATTATCAATTGTCCAACCTTGTCCTTCTACAACTTTTTTAAAAAAAGTGTTTTAATTAAATTAGTTGTAAAAATAAAATATCGTCATATTTTGATTATATACAAAAATCGTTTTCTTTTTTACTTGATAAAGCGTTCTCCTTTGGTAATCCGACATATTTAATAAATTCATCAATTAATATGGAGGAATATGCTTCTGATATAAGATTAATCATTGATTGTCTTATCTTTTCTATAAATTTCACATGATTCATAATCATAACCATAATCATTAACATTAACATTAATATTATTCAAACAAATATAAATATAAACGCATAATAAAAATTCAAAAAAATTATTTGATTACCAGCAAGTTGTTCAATCAAAGGCGTAAATAAATGATTCCATTTATTTGAGTTGACATTTTCATAAAACTTTTCATGATCTCTTTTCCATAAAGCCATAACAACATTCCAAATTAAATTTAATTCTTTTGATGAACTTTTAATATTTTCTGGTATTCTCTTCCAAAGAAATTTGGCTGAAGGGCTAGTTGATTGAGAAGATATTTCGATTGATTGATTGGTTGATTAGCGACAATTTTAAAAAAACATGTTTACAATTATCAACTTACAGATCATCTTCAAATAAATATCCAAAAAGAAATGGTCCGTAAAATTCTTCTGGTGTTATATTAGGATCTGGATTAACTGCCAACTTTATTTTTCATAGAAAATTTATCAACTATTAAAAAAATTACATACACACAATGTGCTCATTAAATTCGAATTAAAATATAAAACAAAATAAATAATATTTACTTCCAACTCCAAATCTTCACAGAATTTAACAAGTTCCTGATAATTTTGATCCGCAATATAATTTTTAATATTATCCATCCTTGTGGTGGGTGTTTTTAAAAATTTGTGTAATTTTTTGGTTTATTTATATTTTTTACTCAATGATCTTCAATTTGTGTAACTTGGATAACGATAAATAATTTTACGTGTTGGTTTTTTAATCTGTCCGTGTGTATTTTGTATTGTCTACAATATGACGAGGTTCTATCCAGAAGGTTAGTCAGTCATTTAATTTATTAGAAAAATATAATACATTATTTTACAGCTATATATATATATATAATTAATTAATATAATATTTATTGTATGTATATCAAGATAATTGTGACTCGTTTAAAGGGCCTCCTCCATTATGTATTCATTGGGTTTCATCAAGTCCACCGCTTACAATTAACATTACAAACATTTCGGTTAGAATTTTTTTCCTATTACTTGTTAATAATTTATATAGATTTCTTTTGAATATGTGTATACATATATGTACACAATATCATAATTATAATTATAATTATAGAAAGAGCTTAAATCATTGACAATTCACAAAGAGACTAATATTAATACTGATAAACCAATTGAAGAGAATCCATTCAATATTATTGATAATAACATTACTACTAATCAAATAACTTTACAAGAAAGGTTCTTGATAAATATTATTCATTTATTTAATAATAGAAAACAAAATAAAAATTAACATATAACAAATAATATTTATTATTAATTTAAAAGTGAAAATATACAACCTATCCGAAAACCAAATTTGTTTGCTGAAGAAATTACAGAACTTGAACAAGATATCATCGAAAAACGTGTAGCATTGCAACAACAACAGGTAATATCTATCAATATATACACACATACATATATATATATATTCACCTTATACGATAATTTATTTTTTAAAAATAATAATGATAATAGTTTGCAGAATTTGAAAAACGTGAATTTCACCGTAAAGCAAAATTTATCCACTTCAAACTTTGGTTTGTTACAGATGAAGAAATTAAAGAAGCGTTAAAGGATTGTAAAGGTGATGAGGTAAATTAACTTTAATATATTTATATATGATAATACTATTGTTACTTAACTAATAACATTTTGATTTGATGAATGTATATATTTATTTATATATTTATATATTATTATGCAATAATAATATTAGGCTTTAGCACTTAATAAAATGTACAATAATGAATATTTCAAAGAGCTTCGTAAAAGAATTGCTCATAAACATAATAAAGATGCTATTGACCATGGTAAAATCAAATAACCTACTTTTAATCAATCAATCTATACATATACTCACTCGCACATTCATTAAATGAATTTTTGATTTGAACAATAATAGACCATAGAGGTTTTCGTGAATTATTGAAACTACAGGGTTCTCAAAAATCATCAATAACAGAATTACAAGCTGGTTCTCAAAAATCAATTCAAAAGGATGATGATGATGACAAAGAAACAACCCCAAAAAGGCCTCAAAGAACGGCCTCAAAAAGAACTAGAAATTCTAATAGCAATTTTAATAATAACAGGTAATATATAAATCAAAAAAAAATTTGTTGCAGTTTTGAAAAGCATATTAATATTATAAGCAATCAAAATAGAATGAAAGGTCGTCTTGCATTGGATGATGCGTTAAAGCAAATAGAAGATTATGATGTGAATCGTGATAAGGCGTTTGAAGGATGGTCATTGGCTCGTAAAAAAGCATATCTTGCTATTAAAACAAATCCAAACACATATTATTATCGATTCAATGCACCTGGTGAAGAACAGAGGCTAGGAGCATGGACTGAGGTTAATTTGATAATAATAATAAATAATAACTTAATGAAGATTGGTGGTAACTTTATTTAATTTTTAACAAAAATAATTATATAGGAAGAGGAGCAAAAGTTTTTTAACAGATTGGAAGAAGTTGGTTCTGAAGGTCAATGGGGAATATTTTCAATGAAAATCCCTGGTCGTGTTGGTTATCAAGTATGTTTAAATAACCTTCATCCATAGGAAAAAAAGGTTAAATAATTAATTAAATATTATTATTATTAGTGTTCAAATTTTTATCGATTGTTAATAGAAACTGGACGAATCAAAGATCCAAATTATGTAATTGATAACAATGGTAAGGCACATTATTTGTTTAGTACTATGAATAAACAAACAGGTGAGACGCAAAAAACAATCAGAACTCACTCCAAACATGGAAGTGGCGGTAATGAATGTAAAACTGTTAGAGGAGGTCATTCTGGTGCTCTGGATAGCCCAAACAGTAAACATGAAAAAACATTTGCTACATTCAGACCCAGATCATCACATAGAAAACGTAGCAGAAAAAATACATTTAACAGCGATGAAGAGGAGGAGGAAGATTACGATAACGATGATTCTGGTAGTTATGTTTTGAAGTCATGGAATAGTAAAAAAAGAGCAAGATCATATCAGGAAAGTGTAAGAATTGATTTTGAAGTTGTCGAACAAGATGATGAAAACCCATTGCCGGGTTTTATTGATCCTATTACATTAGAAGAAGTTAATCGTCCAGCAATTTCTCCTTATGGACATGTGATGGGGTACGAGTATTATTAATTAATCAATAATTATATTTTTATAATTTATTATTAATTAAAATTTTGTTTGTTTACTTGTTTACTAGTTATGACAATTGGGTAAAATGTCTCTCTACAAGTCCAAATAAAAACATTTGTCCTTTGACAAAAAAACCTTTAAAAAGACGTGAACTTGTTATATTGACCAATGATAACATTAATCAATACAGGTTGGTATCCAACTATCTGTAGATTTTAATTAAGAATCAATGTTTTATGATTAAAATTTAAAATTTTCTTTTTAGATCCCAAATTGTCAATCTTAAATAATCTTAATATATATATACACATGTGATGGATGGATAAATCTACAAAGTAATTATTTTATGATCTATTGATAAATTTTTAATAATTATAATGATGTTTTTCCCTTTAAGGATTTATAGATATGGTTGGCACTTATAATAATAATAGAGTTATTGATCTTTAGATAAAAATAAAATAATTCAAATAAACAAGTTTTCCACTATATATTTATATTAATATTGTTAATATTTATTAAATGAAAGGAAAAAAAGAAAACGATAACGGTAACAAGAATGATAATTTAAATTGTTATTAAATTATATTGTTATTTTTTTTTTGCCTCCCTATTATACAACATTTGTTTTATATTCATAGTATATTAACACTAGAGTAGCACATGTATATACATATTGATAACAATATTATTATTATCAAAAGACGGACAAAAATATTATTATTGTTGGCATTATTATGATTATTATTACTACTCTTACTCTTACTACTGCTACTATTAACCATATTATCTACACTATTTGATCCAAGATTTTGATTTATTTGACGTTTTTTGATTTGATTATTGATTTGGGGTGACTTGGGTGTTTCATTTAATGAATTTGTACTAGACTTGTTATCATGACCATCATTATTATTGGTGTTATTGTTATTGAGTGGGTAAAGAATCTCAACTAGCACTGGTTCTGATATACAAAGTTCAGGAAATACTTCTATAATTGTCAAATAAAAAAAATTGTTTTTTTACGATAATAATCATGACAACATCATTCATCACCATCACCATTATCATTATTACCTCTGAATTTTGGACTCTTCATATTAAACTGATGTGAATTTGAAGCAAACATTATTTTATCAGCATCTGATGTTTTAATACTACCTGTTGTGGTTTCATCACCGGTCTACAAAATAAATTTTTAAATTGATTAATATATTTATTTATTATAGCAAATAAACATAATGACTATTATACAACCATAAAGCTCAGCAATCCATTTAGAATGGTTGCGACACTCCAACTAGGATTCCAAGAACTTGGATGAAAATCTGACATTGACAAACACAACTTTGTATTAGGTTGAAATCGTCCTAATAATAAACTTGTATGTTGATAAATAGTTTCTTTTTTTGATTTAAAAAAAAAACAATTTGCAAAATAATAACAACATTTTTATTATTTACCAGAAGGTGTTGTCATGCGAATTGATGGTGGTTTAAAAGGGTACTCAACTGGAAATTGTACAACACCTATTTTATAATATTATATGAAAGGAAAACAGAAATGAATAATTTGTAACTTGTAACTTGTAACTTGTAATTAAATCTGCTTATACTTACCATGATATTCTCCATTATGATAAGGTGTATTTGGTGGACCACGAATAACATAATGCCTATTTTTAATATTAATGGGAGTTAACAAATAAAGTGAATAAATACTAAAATCAAAATAAATCAAAATTTACCATTCCAAAATATTATTTTCTAGCGGTCTGGCTATTATATATGGTACTGGATTCTTTTTTAAATTTTAGAAATATTAATACAATTGAATACAGATAAATACAAATGTAAACTTTGTCAATGACTCTTACGCTTTTTATGGCTATATATTCTTTTGATAATCTTTTGTGTGCAGCTTTAGTTGCCATTTTATTGAAACGGGATATATATTATAGTGAAACCGACCTTTTTGAGATTAAAAATTGTTACACGAAAAACCGTAGTCGAACTTATATGTCTGTCGCACACAAGAAGCATATTAAAACGAGTTTGCAATCGCTTCAAACGACTGAAATAAATCGGCTACTAATAAATAAAAACGGAACTTTATAGGGGCCTTGAGCATCGTTAGAAAGCCGTCTTTATTTGTTTATTTATTTACAAATTATCCTGTACCGTTGAGTGTACATGCAGATTCGCCAAAGCTTTCTAGGTACAAGAACCGAAGTAAATTCGTAAACTAATTAATCGACGAGCACCGAATTATTGTAAATTGCTTGCAATTAACTGTCAAGAGTAGCTCAAAAGTTGGACCATAATCAGACATAGTCGTTAAATAATCGGCGTTAACAAAAAGGCCACCTTGCAATGTAGACGAACAAAGCAATAACGAGTTGGAGTTTTGCCTTTTCTTTTCGTACATGCAACTCGAAGGGGAACCAGAACGATCAACATGGATAATGGAGAGTAACTGAAAAACTTTGTGACAGAAGCCTATTATGCCAAGTGAGGTAAACCCTAAACCTTTTTTAGTAGAGGAGACTTGATGGCAACAACCTACCACTTATTTAATTTTGGCTGGTGCCTAGTTTTCGTTGATCGATTCTTTAGATTTCTGCTTATTTGTAGTATTTAAAACTCATTTTTTGAGGAAAGGGTTTGATCATAATAATAACATTTATATTATCAATCAAAAATCGTATTTGAAAACAATTTTGTGTATGTTGAAAATTTCTAAAACAAATTTGTAATAAATACTGGATATAGTAAACATTTTCAAAATGAAGCAACTAATAGCAAATATAAAATTTTTTTAACAACAGATAAATTATTAAAAAAATACATTTTATTTAAATGAAAATAGTAAATATAAATTTGATATATAAAAAATGGTGGCGAATACTTTTTAAATTAAATTTAATGTAAAAAATTTGCCGTTCTAAAAAATTTTTCACGATTAACGCGAATATTATTAATCATAATAACAACTTCTTCTATACTTGGTCTATTTCTTGGATCCGTTTGCCACATTTTTTGAATTATATTTGAACTTAAAGGATAATTATTATTCAAATAATAAATATCTGAACGATTACCATGCGCTGGTAATATCCCCCAATTTAATATCGACCAAAAAACTAAAGCTAATGAATATATATCTACTTTTTTAATATCATAATAATTTCCATTAATTTCTGGCGCTCTAAAATATTGATGTCCACGTTGAGAACCTGCTATATCATTTGCAAATTTTTCCATATATTTAGATTCTCCAAAATCAGTAATTTTTGTAGTAAAATTATCGGAAAGTAAAATATTATCTGGTTTTAAGTCCTAATAAAAAAAAATATTATTTATATTATTTATAATAAAATAAATAAAACAATTAATTAATTGTAATTACTCTGTGATATATATTTTTTGAGTGTAGATATGATACGCCTTCAGTAATTTCGGAAATAAATTTAAATTGTAAACTATAGTTTCCTTGATTTGGGTTATTATTCATATACTTTTGTAAATTTCCATTTTTATAATATTTTGTAATAATGTTTAAAAATCCCGTACGTTCCGATTCATAATATCCAATGAATTGAACTATATTTTTATGATTTAATTCTCTGTAATTAATTATAAGTGATTATTATTATTATTATTAAAAAAAAAACTCTTTATAAAATAATATATACTTTAAAATTTTTAATTCATTTGCTACTTCTCTTAAAGTAACGTTATCAAGTTTACATTGGACTTCTGAAATAGCAATATCATATATATTTTTATATTTGCCACGATAACAAATTTTAAAACTTCCTTGTCCTATAATCCCACCTAAATATTTTGTAATTTCATTTCTATTAATCATAAATTCTTCGATATTTTTTAATGATCTTTGTTTAATTGGTTGAAATGGAAAGAAATTCTGATAACAAAAACAACATTTATAAAAACCGCTACTTGATGGATGTTTTAAAAGTACCTTTTGATTACAAAAAGTACAATTTGTATAACTCATTTTTAATTTTTTTTTTATTTTAATTTGGTAATACGTCCACTTTTTATATGATGCAGGTATCAAAAAAATCGTGCAACTTCAAACCACTAAGACTTTTTATTAATAAAGTTGAAAAAACTCTCTATTTTTGCAAACTTTAGAACCAGGCAACAATGAAATGGAGTTTTTTTTTCAATTTTATTAATAAAAAAAAAAAGCCTTTAGTGGCTTGAAGTTGTTATCAAAAATGAAATTTGGCACAATATGATCTTTCTTATTTAGTAAAGGTCATCCAAACGCGTGACCAGAACATTACAAAATTCATATTTTTTTTTGCAAGTAATCAGCCAATAAATACATTATTAACAGACTTACATTCTTCCAATTAAAAAAAATGGCAAGGCAAAGTAAGCAAACTGCACATTTGGGGAAAGCTATAAATGTTTAAAAAACAAATTAGATAATGAATTGAATAAAATTTAGAATATGCATCAAGTGAAGAAGACTCAGATAAAGAAATTGATTATTCGTTTTGTTTGTTTATTTGAATTATTTATTATTCTAATTGTTCATTTATTCATTTATTATTCTAATTATTCATTTATTCTAATTATTCATTTTATTAGTTTATTCTAATTATTTGTTTATTTAAATTATTCATTTTATTCGTTTATTCGAATTATTTGTAGAATCTAATGTAAGTAAAAAATATTGTTATTAATGATTAATAGATAGTAATTTCCCAATCAATTAATTAACAATGAAATTTTCATTCATCTTTGACATTTAAGTAAAATCAAGATAATTTAATGAATTATCATTACTTGTATAACTTTTAAGCTTTTTGATCTAGCAATCTCTTCATTTAATATTCTACTTGTATGGTATGCACCTGGGTGTGATTTATGTACTTGTTGCAAAACACTGCTACCACCATCACTGCTGCTGCCACCATCATTATTAAAATCAATTTCCTTGTGTTTATTTATAGCAAATTTGAAAAGCTCACTAATAGTTGGTCTTTTTGATGGATCCACATCCCAACACCTCTGCATCATTTCTGCATAATCATCAGGCATGCCAGGTAATATTGGTGGTCGTAAACCTTCTTCACATATGTCAAAAATTAAATGATGGTCATGAGCTCTATCATCAAATGGCAGATAACCTGCAAATATTTCCCACATTAACATCCCAACACTATAAATATCAGATTCCTTTGTGTTCTTTTCACCTCTAAGTAGCTCAGGTGCAACATATGATACAATTCCATAAACTTTATCTGATGATTTTTCATCAACTGGTCCACATAATCCCAAATCTGTAATATAACAATTACCTCCTTGCAATAATATATTACCACTATGTAAATCACAATGGATTAAATCTTTTTCATGTATAACATCTAATGAATCACATAAATATCTAAAGATTGTAATTCTGTCTTTTAATGTTAAATTTAAATGATTTTTTTTCAAATAACCCCTTAAACTTCCTTCTTCATGATGATTTAAAACTATTGCATAATTTCCATTATCTGGGAATTTAGTTATACCATAACACTGAACAATCAACCCTGATTTAATTTTACAATAATTCATTGCCTGAAATTGAATATAAAATCAATTAATATTATATAATACAATATTGTTTTAAATGACAACTATATAACAAAATTGGAAAATTTCGGGTGAAGATCATACCTTAATAGTTAACAATATACAGAAGAGGTAGCAAAATTTAGTAGTAGGGTCAAGATTTTTTAAAATATAGAAAGTTACTAATATTCAAAAGTTGAAAATGCCACTAGTGTTCCATGTCACAATCCAAAAAAGGAAACAAAATGGTTGTAAAGATGGTAGCAACCATCATCAA